ATCCCTTGGTGGTCTAAAATCGATAAGAGTAGGCTTCGGCCGCCACCCGGGCAAAATTCAAAATTTCCCACCAACTGAAAATATTAGGTGTGTCCCGCGCGCTCATATGACCTTATGCAGTTGCGAGCGCCGTAAAATACTTTACAAAAACAAAAAATATTACAATGACACTGTGCAAGACGTTCACGGGTCTACTAAGACAGTCGGATTTCTCCTCAACATTGGGTGGTTGTCTTAGGACATTTCGACTGTACATGTTTACGTGTGCAGGTGGGCGGAAAGAATAGGTTAACTTATGGCTCAAGCTTGCTTTATTTTACTTTTTACTTTTTCATCCTATCATTGCCGTTAAGCGTCAAAGGGAGATGCAGTTTTCTATGGCTGTGGTAGGCAGTGGCGGTGGGTGGACCAAAATTTGGGTGGGGCTTAGGTTGCTTTCACTTCTTTACCACCAAATAGCAAACAATAAGAAGAAAACAGTGGTGATTTTTCCATACTCACGGCGAGTCTCGGCATTTTGAGAACCATTCAAACGCGAAGAGTCATCTTTGTCTTCCTTCTCTTTGTTCTACGTTAAACTCTTCTTGATGCTTGTTGCCTCAAAAGTGGTTTGATATAATTAATAACTGTTAGATCTCAGCGGCACACACAACAAACATGTATACACAGCGCTCCGCGAGCTGGATTAGCCGTGTAGTCGAGGAAAGTAGACAGCACCTAACAAAGGTCCAATGGGAGCGTAGGTAACTGTGTCACTGGGGGAAAGTGTGTCGTAAACTTTCACCCCATTGTCAGGGCTAGGGCAGCGTGAGCCATCTGTGCAGTGTTAGTTTTTTCAAGTCTTCTACCTTTTTACAAGAAGAGTTTCATTAACGAGGGTCCGTGGGAACCGGCTCATCTTTGCTGAGCCCTAAAGACATTTGATTGGATGTTAGGTTACTATAGTTGTAAGCGGTGGCAACAGTGATTGGATAAACGAGCAAGCCAACAAGTTGATCACTCTGTGTTCATTGCGTGCGGTCATAACGGTTTCAATTGCTTATTTCGTTATTTTCTTTTGCTTTGGGATAGAGTTGCGGGGCTCAAGCCCGTGAGCCCTTCACTACCCACCGCCACTGGTGGTAGGCCAGCTCCGAAGCTCTTTCAGAACCTTGTGATGTTATGTTTTCTTAAAGCCCGGTTAAACGTAACGATGAATTGTACAAAAATTGGATGATCTAGCGGTCATACGATAAATCGTCAGGTGTAACCACAAAATTGTACAAAATTTGGACGATTGAACTATGGTTTGTAGACTCGGTCGAGAAATCAAGCACTGCTTGATTTTTTCCGTGCGATCACGGTCACACTTGAGTGAGACACGCTGTGACGTAGATTCACTTTGAAATTTGCCGCGGCGCAGAACTAAACTCAGAACTCAAATTTTTAGAAAAAAAGTATCGTAGGTAAAAACTGATTTCATATTCGGAATCAGCGTCTCAAAATTAGCAAAGTTGCGTAAAACCTGATTTGGTGCGTTATTATAAATATTTTAGCAATTTTATTATTAAGTTGATCGCCAAGGATGAAGCTGTGCATCAAGGTCACTCGGTGCGTTGCACATCTATCTTGCAGTCAAGTCATAGCTTTCGGTTCTACACACAACACGGTAGGCCTACAGTATGGCCACCCTTTTCTAAAGACACTGTTCTGCTAAATCAAAATGTACAGGGGGAAAAGGGGGGGGGGGCCTCTCGTGATCTAGAGGTACAGTGTTCGCCTTTCATTCATTAGGTCCAGAGCTCGAAACCTTCACATAGAGTATAGAGAGCAGTCAAATCGCTGTCGTCGCAAAGAGACGTGGTGGCTTTCTGACAAGGAATTACCTCAATTGATAGAAAACTGAACAATAGATTGGAACGAGTAAACAGACAACACAGTTCGATAAAACGGACAGTTCTCTCAAACGACGAATCTGATACTATTTATCGTTGCGTGTAACCGGGGCTTAAGGGTTTCCTTGACACCCTCCATCCACCTTTTGTGTGGTCTTCCGCTTCCTTTATAGCCCAAATGCTTGGTGTTTTAGGCTCTCGAGGTTGGCTGGTCAGGTGACATGCGTAACAGGTGGCCGAACCGTTTTATCCTCTGTCTTTCTATGTAACGCAGTGCCTGTCTCGTCTTGTGATGTTAAGGGTTTTGCGGAGATATTTCATTTCGCATGCGGTGATTTTGCTTTCATAGGTTTTGCTTAAAGTGCTGGTCTGGCACTGATAGCCTAATGTTGGTATGAATATATTGATGTGATAAGCTGTCTCTTTGTGTCCATGGAGATGTTTGGATGAGATAGGGGGGTACTAGCTGGAAGGTGACAGCGTTGGCTTTTTTAGTTCGCATTTCTATTTTTCTGTATATGGACCTATTTTCAGAAAAAGTGCTGCCAAGATATTTAAATTCCTTCACCTGTTTCAGTTGTTTACTATTGACATGGATGTTCAGGGGACTATGGTTTGGGCTCTCTATCATAACTTCTGGGGGGTTTTTATGTGCATATTTTCATGTTGAATTTCGCACAGCTGTTGTTGAGTTCGGTAGTGTGATTGTGGAGGCTTTGTTGGTCATGATGAATACATGTAAGACATTGGTCGTCTGCGAACAGAAATTCATTTAAGCTTTCTGGGTTTTGGTTTGGGTCTTGCGTTATTGTGTCCATAATATGTATTATAAACAGGAGGGGAGATAAAACGCCTCCCTGTCGTACTCCTCATCTTACTTTGAACCAGTGTGTATTGATTTCCTTCGTTCTTACTGAGCTTCTGTTGTTGGTATATAGAGCTCTGACATTATCTAACATTTGTCCTCTGACGCCATACTTTTCGAGCGTCTTCCAGAGTTTTGCATGGTTTATTCTCAAAATCCTTCTCCTGGTCTATAAAGACGATGCTGGATTCTCAAGCATGGGCCTAAAAAGATCATATTACTTTCAGATCAGAGGGCTCAAGTCTAAGAGCAGTCTATCAGTCTATTCACAAACCGCGACTTTTCATAAACAATGACTTTTCACAAACTAAAACTATTCGCAAACCGTATTTTTCCCCATTGGGGAATGCCTTCTGAGCAACACTATTCGCTACCTCAGAATTACAAAGTTCTATCTGACATTTTGGCCGTTTTGAATTACTAAGGCCATGAGGTCGAAAAGCAATTAATGTTCTATTTCCCTACCAAAATCGTAAGATTATTAGGAGTCGTTATTAAGATATTAGAATTGCATTCACATGTAGCAGAACTCGTCTTTTTTTACATCAAATTTCTCAAAACTAGGTCCACGAACAGAGAGAAATGGGTCATTCTAGGGAAACAGCATGCTTTAATATTGAAAGACGGCATAGGAAACAAGTCAAACTCTCTGAGATATTGAATGATGGTCTTAAGCACACGCGCTACTTCCATGTTTTAGATTTTTTAAATGTCAGATCAAATAGCGGGGTCAGTCCTCAGCTAGAGCCGTTCTTAAAATGAAGGTGTATCAGAAAAACCGATCAAAATACGGTACGTTGTAAACTTCAAAGTTATGGCTTTATTCAAAACTGAGAACGCGACTGGGATCGTATTCGGGTGTTACCTTAATTTTGCCGGCAAGCTATTCAGTACAGATGTTCCAGCTCCAAACAGAAAACTGATTCAGAGGATAAAAAAACAACACAGTTTGATTCTTTTGAAAATTGAGAACTTTACCCACATGACGCACGTCTGCTCTTTTGCTTTTTATTCACAACATTTAGAATGTGTAACAAAATATTTATTGAGGTTATTATGCAACCAATATCACAGAGATAAATAGCTGCCATTAAAAAACAAACAAGAAGTATAAATTATGGGCGTAGTACATCTTAGGAGCTAGCCGTCGATTTTTATTTTTCATTTCTTTTTTTTAAATATTTGGCAGGTACGATCCAGTTGGTCCGATGAGGTTACCTCCGCCCTTAGAAGTAAAAGCGGTGGCAGAAGGCAAAGATGACGGACCACAACGCGCATCTCCAGTCACTGTCAAAAAAAGCTTGGCCCGAAAGGGTCCCACAGGCTGGAAGCAGCTGACAATTTTTCAAATACACGACAAATTTCGGGCCAAGCTTTCTCCAAACTGCGGTAACAAGAAGTTACGGAAACGATGTTTGTCCACGATGCTGGATGAAGACTGTCGAGTTGACGCCATGGACTACATAGAGCTGAATGAGTTTGTCAAGAAAAACTCACGCTTCGTTCCTTTACTTGACGACAAGGAGTACGTTTTCCCCTGGGAGAAAAATTACGTCATTCAGAAGCCTTTGAGTAATGAAAAGAAACTTCCTGATCTGGAACAGTCAAAGATTACTGTTCTGAGCCACCGAGAGGAGAACGGTTTAGTCACGTGCCGCCAACATGAAGAACTCGTTCTTCGAGCTGACATATACGACAGTTATGGGAAAACCCGATCATTGGGCGGGGATGACGTCAGAGCCTGGATGACAAAGGCCACCACGCCGAATATAACCAGTGCTACACTTCACGTGGTGGATTGGAAGAATGGCACCTACACGCTTTCCACTCCGTGTCTCTGGCTGGGCCAGTCTCAGGTATACTTTTCTCTTTATCTTTTTAGTGGGTCAGTAGCTCGTGTAGGGGATGTAGCAGCTAGGCGCTTCCCTTTCTCGCACAGAAGACTGGAGTTCAGTTCCCGTGTGAAGAGAATGGGACGTTGTATTCCTCTCAACTGCGGCAAAATAAAATCTTATTGTTTGTAAAGGTTACCAAAAAAAAAAAAGACAAGCCCCCCCCCCCCCCTTAAAAAATATATCCAAAATAAATAAATCATTCATTTGTTTTCCTTACTGACTATAAACGATTCCCTTAACACTGAGCGGACGTCTTAGCTTCCCTTGTTTTCTCTTTCCCTCCAACAGCTGATTGTCGTAGTGCCGTACCCGAGGGAGTATCTGCGAATGACCTTGGTCCAGAGGCGGAATGGAAGAACGAGATATAAGGCGGGACTCTTTCAGAAAAACAACATCACGGAGGTCAGTATTTGTGTGACATCCTCAAGGATTCAGAGGCTTGTCAAAATCATGAGGTCAAAGACACCGACATTATTTTTTCCCCACCCCTTCAGAATTTTTAAGAATCGAGTTTAGTTTTCGTGTTTGGGCCAACACTATTATGACCATATAAAAACGCATGTGCGGATTTCATTGACAAATTCTGTCAATCAGGGGTACAAAAAATGTAAATTTGTTGTTTCCAAAGACACCAATGGCGTTGGATGTCATCAAACTTTGGTGACCTTTTTTGTCGCTAATTTGACCTCTGGTATTTGACCTCTTATACCAGGAGCCCCATCACATACACACACACACACACACACACACACACACACACACACACACACACACACATACACACACATACACACACACATACACACACATACACACACATACACACACATACACACACACACATACACACACACATACACACACACATAGGTCTACACACACATACACACACACACACATACACACACACATAGGCCTACACACACATACACACATGCACACACATACACACATATATACACAGATACTCGTACACACACAAACACTCATACACACACACACACACACACACACACACACACACACACACACATACACACACACATACACACACATACACACACATACACACACACACATACACACACACATACACACACACATAGGTCTACACACACATACACACACACACACATACACACACACATAGGCCTACACACACATACACACATGCACACACATACACACATATATACACAGATACTCGTACACACACAAACACTCATACACACACACACACACACACACACACACACACACACACACACATACACACACACATAGGCCTACACACATACACACATGCACACACATACACACATATATACACACATACTCGTACACGCACGAACACACACATACACACACATGCAGACACATACACACACCAGGGGCGGCTCGTGGGGCTAAAAAGTGGACGTGCACAAATAAGCTATCGCATGCTGAAGATAGTCAAGGGCATAGTACTGTAAATGAGACAGTGTATAGGCTAATTCTAGGATCTTTGGGTTGGTGAGGGAGGACCTCGTGCTTTTATTTTCATTCTTTTTACTTGTCGCTTTGATTTCTAGTACTAAATTTGTTTGTTAGCTAAACATCAAATTCGGTCATCCTGTATTGGAACTGAACACTCAAGTAATAACTTTCACTACTCCACTACAAAACCATTCAAAGGCACAACTCATAGGACGGTCACATTCACCTCCCTCAGGTTCACGGTCACAGAGTCACTTAAAATAGTGGCAAGACAGACAATGAACCAATCACAATTCACTTGAGCACTCCGCTGGATTGCTCCGGGGCTCCCATAATATTAGCAAAAAATAGCGTACGGCCTGTCGCGTTTATTTTTAGACTGCCTACTGTGGGCTATGTTTCGGCACTATTCGACAGGAGCACATTTGATATGTGCCGTCTTATTAATATTAATGTACCGCCAAACTCGCTACGAGTGTCGTCATCGCTTGGGTTATCCCTAAGAGCGATTTATAGGTCAGGTTACGCTGTTGAATATCCTATTATGTTTAGCTAAAGCGAGTGGCCTTTGGCATAGCATAGTAGATGTTTTACGGTGCTATACACACAGACATGACTGATATGGCGCCATGGAGGACCTTGTTTTGATATAATATTTGGTTAGTGTTTGTTTCTGGCTTCCTTTATTTTATTATTGTGGGTGTTTTACGTAAAAGAACATTAAAAAATTTTGGGCGGCACTGCACGACCGTGCTCTATGGACGAATCGCGCCTGACACAAACATACACAAAAATACACAATCCTAAATACACACACACACGCGCTCACACACACACACACACACACACACACACACACACACACACACACACACACACACACACACCTTGCTTGAACCTGCTATTCAGTTATTGGCTGTGTCCTAAAGGAAGCAGTAAATCATCTAACAGTAACAGTAACAGAATAATATGTTTCTCTCTCTCTCTCTCTCTCTCTCCCTCAGTCCACAATATGCTGGTCCACTCCTAACCTCTTCCACCCGTGCCTCTGTAACTACACCACCCAGAACACCCTGCCATTTTACTGCGGACAACCAGCGGACCCCAGGTATAATAACTCACTCTGGGGAATCGTGGAAAAATCAGGCGCTCTTTAAAGTAATGAAATCGAAGAAACTGGCATTCTTTTTCCAGTATGGAAATTGTCTATCCATCTATTTTTTTTTTTTTTTGGTTATTGCTCAACACCTTTAATGGCCATTTAAAAACAGATAATTTCTTTGTGGATTTTACCTCAAAGCGTTGAATAAGGCACACACACAAAAATCGTACCAGACTCTTAAACTAAGGAAGTCACCAAATTTTGGCAACTATTTTTTCGCCAATTTTACTTTCGAAACCAGACGTCCCCAACCTCTTTCAATCGCAAATACACGTATCTCGACTTTGGTCAATTCAAGATAAATGAGTAATTTTACATAGAAAAATAGACAAATGAACAAGTTTTAAGATGATAGTAATAACTCTACCAGCCCAAAAACAGATGAATGCCTGATTCTAACGCGTCTTGATACATAGTGCATTCGACATGAATTCATATGACCCTAAAGTACTTTCGCTGTAACTGCTAGATAATTATACTGAAACCAAGAGAGTAGCTTGTAAACTGCGGGCATTCACAAGTGTGGAGGTTTTGAATGCGCAAAACATGGCACACTTTTCTTTGCCAGAACTGGTCTCATTGGCCATAGCAAAAGACGCAACATGTCATCTTAAACATTAATTCTTCTATTTCGCTTCCAAAAAAATCTCCTTCGAGGTTGCATTAGTCGACGTAGGGTATTTGTGGACCTAGAATTGTCATTATTATTGTCAAGATAATTGTAAATTACTTCAGCTGTGACTGCAAAATATTTAGACTGCAACAGTACAATACTTCAACCGTGATAAAACTCTGAAATTAATTGTAGCATGCTTCAATTTCAATTGTAAGTGTGACATTTAAACTGAAATTAAAATTCTTCGACAGTGACTTAAAAATATTTAGACTGTACAGTAAAATACTTCGACTGTCACTGTACAATATTATTTAGACACAGACAGTTAAATTGTTTAACTTTTCCTGTAAGTGTAAAATATTATCGTTTAGACTGTGGCATTAAAATTCTTCGACTGTGACTATAAAATATTTAGACTGTTACAGTAAAATACTTCGACTGTGACAATACAATATTATTTTGACACTGACAGTTAAATACTTTAGCTGTAAGGGTAAAATAGACTCTGAACATACTGCAACCGTGACTAAAATAATATGTGAGGCATCATGGTGAAATCAGGCTCTCGTCAAAATAATGAAATCGAAGAAAAATGCATTATTCCACCAGTTTTGCAATTTTTATCGATTATTTTTTTGGCTAAACACCTTTAATATTCAAAAGAAAACACATTCCCATGTGATTTTCACTGAAAAACCTTGTTTAAGGGTAAAGAATATGTAATTTTCAGTTTTCAGGGATTCTTAAGCTATTGAAGTTTCCAAATTTTGACGGCCATTTTCTCATTAATTTAACCACAGAAACCAGGCTGCCCCACCTTCTTCAATTGCAAATATCTCGACTTCTATTCAAGCCAGATGGATTTTTTTTCACTGAATGCAAGGCAAATGAATAAAGTTTCAGAAGATACCAATAACTCCCATGCCCCAAAATTGACGAGAGCCTGATTCCACCGCGTCGGGACACATATTTTGACTGTGACAGTCTATTCCCAGTTATAAATGCAGTACACATCATTACCACAATCTTTGATTTCTCGTGCAACCGAAAATGGAAGCACGAACTTCGGGAAAACTCTGTTGATAATCTGATCTCTGACGCCATTACATTGCCAAGTTTTCTTGCAGACTGACCTGTGATGATTGGGCTGGGGTCAATTCTTTGTGGTCTGTGCAACCAGCCAACCTGACTTCCGCTGAGAACAGGATGATACAGACAATTGTAAGGTAAGCAGCGACTTGCTGGGTTTCTTTAACTCCCACATCGACACAGTTTAAATGTGAGTACAATGTATTATGGTGTAAATCAGACGCTCGTCAAAATAGGGGACTTCGAAGAAACCATAATTTTTCCTGCAATTTGACAATTTCATCTATTTTTTATATATTTTTAACACATCAGCTTTTTTGCCCGTCTAAAAACATACATGTATTATTTCTGTGTGGATTTCACTGAAAAACATCAATTAAAGGTACAGCAAATATACGTTTTCAGTTTCCAAAGACTCTGAAGCTTTGGAAAACACCAACCCTCGGTGGTCATTTTCTCGCTTAATTTTACCTTGTAACCAGGCAACACTCATCCTTCAGTCGCAAATATCTAGACTTCTATTTCAAATAGATGCATATTTTTTCACCAAAAGCAAGGCAAATAAACAGGTTTTAATAATAAATAATAATAACAATTGCATTTATATAGCGCATATCCATGCTCATGAGCATGCTCTATGCGCTTTACAACTATTATTACCCCAGCAGACCCTCTGAGAACACTCAGAAACATTCTCGGCTTCCGCGGAAGCATACAGTGCTAGCTGCGGATTTCACGCGCTCAAAACTATCAAACTGACAAGATCGTTCATTGTCTATAGCCGGGTACCCATTTCCACCTGGGTGAAGTGAGAAAAGTTTGCGCAAAGTGCCTTTTAAATGACATCAATAACCCTATTTGCTCAAAAATTGACGAGTGCCTTATTCCACCATATCGTGCCACCCAAAAAACCCCCAACTAATTAAAGAAAAAGTCTTTTAAAAAAATATATATATATATGTGTGTGTGTGTGTGTGTGTGTGTGTGCGTGTGTGTATGTGTGTGTGTATATGTGTGTGTGTGTGTGTGCGTGTGTGTGTGTGTATGTGTGTGTGTATATGTGTGTGTGTGTGTGTGTGTGTGTGTGCGTGCGTGTGTATGCGTGTGTGTGTGAGTGTGTGTGCACGCGCTTACAGTGTATCACGACGCAGAGGAATCAGGCTCTCGTCAATTCTTTGTAGAGTTATTGGTATTATCTTCAAATTTGTTCGTTTGTCTTGCGTCAGATGTTTTGAAAAGATCCATTAAATATATCTTGAAAAGAAGGCGAGATATTTGCAAATGAATGAGATGGGGGTGACCTGATTTCAGAGGTAAAATTAGTGAGAAAATGGACGCCAAAGATGAGTTATTGTATCATCAAGTGCCATATCTTCGCAAACATCGGTGATCATGGTTCTCCATTCATTTTTTTGCTCGGACGCTCTTAAAAAAATATATCACCCTGATCTTTCCCCGTTATACATCTGTTTAGATTCAACGAGTAGGTTGGTCTGGGCCTACCCCTGCCTCGTTTTCCTTCAGTTTTGCCAGTGAGAGCTAGAATTTCGAGATTTGTATCTCTATTCAAGTGTCCCAAAATCTGCATAATTAAAATTTGTCTTTTCCTACTTGTTTTGATCAGTGACATTCCCACTTGGGATACTTCAAGTATTACCTCATTTGATGTCATTTTCTTCCAAAATATTCTCAGCAGTTTCCTAAGAAATCACATTTCTGTTGCTTCTATTTTACGTTCACTGTCTTTAGTGATTGTCCAGCATTCACAGCCATATAGGAGGGTTGAACATACATATTATATAGCATTTCAAAACTTTCATGTGGTCAGTCATTGAGATGTTTCCCTTGTTCAGGATTAGGCTCATTGTATTAAACCCATCATTAGCCATTGCAATGTTTCGTTTTATTTTTGTGGGTGGTTGGCGGGTGCTCTGGTGTGGTTTGCGTCTTCTTTCCTATCAAATATCTGCCGTCCTTATCTCCCCTTCTTCTTTTTAGTGTTTGTTACTCTCTTGTAACACCTCTAATCTTCTGGCGCTCATATGACCATGCAGTTGCGAGCGCTGTAAAACCTCTACTAAAACAAACAATAAAACAAATATTTTTGTGGGACGTTTGGCATCAGATGATATAGTCATTATATTACATCCTCGACATTTCCAGTTGAACTTGTTAAAATATTGGTCTGTCCCATATGTTGAGGGCTTTAGGCCGAGGAGTGGTAAACATGTTTTTTCCAAAAGTACAAGGTACCAGCGGCTCTCATCAGCCACACACAACTTTTACACAGATGTAATAATGCATGGTATTTGGGCGTCTCCAGAAAACCAGAGGAAGTTGCAATCAAGCACCCGCTGACAATACGTACAACGAAATCTTCAAAAGGTTTGTACGTTCAAGATCACCATGATTTGTGTCTGTGCATACTTTTCTTGTTTATACACTTTGGATAAGTTGCAGTAAACTAAAACAAAATTATATATATATTATATTATATATATATATATATATATATATATATATATATATATATATATATATATATATATATATATATATATATATATATATATAAAGTTATTTTCAGGATTAATTAAACTATACGTAGAGCTTGGTAAATTTATTCTTTATTCTGTAAGAGGGAGTGGGGCGTTACTAAAAGGGCTTTGATCTGGATCGGGTTACTAAAACGGCTCCGATCTTGATCACGTCAAAACAACGAAATCACATGCACTCCTCTTGCCTTTTCAACAACAAAAAATCCATACCGGCCTAAATCGGTCTTCCCGTTATGTTGCCATACCCGGTACCGGCTTTTTGGCTGTAGAGCCGTACCGGCCTGACACACCCGCCTTAAGAGCAGGCTTAGACATAAGAACATTCCACTTTAAATTTAAATGTTGATGTCCTAGGTCTGTGTATGTGAAATTTCATTGAAATAATTCATCGTATTGATTTTGATCAAACGCAAAACCTAGTTCTTTGCTACACCCCCTGAACCTCACTGAAATGATTCAGTTCCGGGAAGCCATCAGCTGGCTGCTATTTTGGTTTTGCTGTGCTGACCATCTGACCTATGTATGGTGCTAAGAGGGCTAGACTAGCCCAATAATACCCCTGGCTGAAAACTCTCCTGATTGCGTGGGAAACAAGTGGATTCCAGTTCACGCACACCCTTCCAGTCAAAGATCATACATAACAAGACTGTTCGCTCAGCCAAAAACGTGTCCGCGGAAGTCCACGCATTGGATCAGATGGCGCTGCAGTCTTTGTTTTGAAGCTCTCTTTCCTTTCTCAGGAAGAAGAATATGAATAGTACAGTTTATTAGTGTCGTTTTTATTGTTTTTCACACAAGTAGGGTAACTCTGTTCACACAAGTAGGGTAACTCTGTTCGCAAAGTCCGCACTTTTTCGAAGAGGGCGCCACCGGATTTGGAGGACGCTTTTCTGATTGGTTCAAAGAGAGGAGTGAACTGTCTTGTTAAGTAGGCTACGACCTTTGCTCCTGTACAGAGGCCTGGACTCTCAAACAGCCTTCAACTGTTTGGGAATGTAACAAAAGAATTCGTACGTTGCACACTGGTACGACAATTTTACCCTAACTAAACATTTATTAAGTGAATTGCACATTTTATTAACATTGTCCCTTTTTACATTATGATGCCGTGATGTGGAACGACATATCCAGATAAATTAGAGACTTGAATTTCCATGCATTGTTTGAACATAATTTGTTGAAATGGCGTTTTTGCTGAAGAATATTTTTAGTCTTCTTACCGTCTCAGTTGATATATTGATATTAATAACCATACCATTCGTTCAAAAAGAAGTCTTAAAAATCTAGGGGTTCAGTTGGATTATGATATGTCTATGTCCTCCCAAATAAGCCAGCTCAGCAAAAGTATTTACTTTCAGCTTAAGAAAATTGGCAGTGTAAGAAATTATTTGACTAAAGCAGCAGCCAAGACACTTGTAA